GTGTGTGTGTGTGTGTGTGTGTGTGTGTGTGTGTGTGTGTGTGTGTGGTGTGAGCCAGTACAGTCTGGGAGCTAGCATGAGGACTTTGATCTGTTGCAGGTGTCTTTAATGTTAATCAGGGTTTGATGCCCCAATTGCCAGAGGTAATAGGGAGCAGATAAGGGAATTAATAGCTTTCTCTGACAAACAGAATCCTGCTTTACAAGATTTCTGAGGAATGCTGGATTTTACTGGGTCAGAGTCCAGAACTGAGACCAGGCTACCCTTTAGGACCTTGTTAGCAGCACTGCCATTTGGGGGCCAACTTTGGTTCTAATACCCAGTGCTAGTGAGGAAGAGGCAGGTGGATCTCTGGGAGTTTAAGGCTAGTCTGGTCTACATAGTGAATTCTAGGACAGCCAGGGCTATGTAGAGAGACCTTGTTTCAAAAAAAACCCTCTTTTGTCTCTGTGACATTAAAAGTAATTGCCAGTGCTGACAATGATGTCTACAAGTTTATGAAGAAAATTATTTTCTGATAAAGTGCTGACTTAATTTTCAGTATTTTAAATAGTTCTTACATATTCATAGATGAAGCTGCCCTATTGCTCTCTCATGGCATAGGGGCCAGCTTATACCAGTCTCTTACAATGTTCTGGGTAGTCTAGGCAGCCCTTAAACTGGCAATTGCCTGCTTTGACAAACCAGGAATTAACAGGCCTATACCACCATGCTGACTTCACCAGACCAACTAACTCATGAATTGCCTGTACCACCATGCCAACATCACCAGACGTACTAACTAATTCGTGAATTGCCTGTACCACCATGCCAGCGTCACCAGACATACTAACTCAAGAATTGCCTGTGCCTATTTACTAAACATTTTGGTAGACACCTATATCTTCTTTGGGCAGGAGGACTATGATGACCCATTATGTTTCCTAATCATTATTGCTTTATTAGTGAATTTTAGCCTCATTGTATGTCAGCTTTGAATATTGTTATTTTTCTAAACAGTTAAACACATTGATATTTCAAGTTTCTTGATGTTTAGTAATATATAGCTTCTTTTAAAATAAAAAAAAGTAAAACAAAAATTGAGTTTCAGGTTTGGTGAATGTGAATGCCAGGTGTTTTACCACTGAGCCCTGTTTTGGTTATTTGCCCAATTTATAATCAACTTCCTTTTCCTTCCTTCCTTCCTCCCTCCCTCCCTCCCTTTTTTTTTTTTCAAGACAGGGTTTCTCTGTGTAGCCCTAGCTGTCCCAGAAGTCTCTTTGTAGACCAGGATTCCTCAAACTTACATCCCTTGTTTCTGCCTCTCAAATGCTGGGATTAAAGGCATGCACCATCACTGCCTGGCTAGTTTACTTTCTTATTGTTGAGTTTTTATAGTTGGTTTTATGTTTTAGGAAATGTACAAGTCCTACATCAGATATCTGTTTTGTTACTACTTCTTCAGTCTGTGATTTGTCTTTACTTTCTGTCTCAAACTAGAAGTTGTTTGTTTTTAAGTGAAATCCAAGCTATAAAATCTAAAAAGTAAGCTGGTGATACTAATTTACTAGCAAGCTAGAATACTATATATCTGATCGATTCTGCCTCTTTTGTGTGTGTGTGTGTGTGTTTTCCTTATTTATTTATTTAAAGAATTTCCACTTCCTCCCCTCCTCCCAATACCCTCCCACTCCCCCCACTCCCTCTCCTCCTCCCTCCCCAATCCCAAGAGCAGTCAGGGTTTCCTGCCCTGTGGGAAATCCAAGTTCCTCCCCCCTCCCTCCAGGTCTAGGAAGGTGAGCATCCAAACAGACCAGGATCCCCAAAAGCCAGTCCATGCAAACGAATCAAGACCCAGTGCCATTGTCTGTGGCTTCTCAGTCAGCCCCCATTTCAGCCACATTCAGAGAATCCGATTTGATCACATGCTCGTTCAGTCCCAGTCCAGCTGGCCTCAGTGAGCTCTCATTCGATCAGTCCCCTTGTATCAGTGGGTGAACACACCCTTCGCGGTCCTGACTTCCTTTTTCATGTTCTCCTTCCTTCTTCTCCTCATTTGGACCTTGGGGGCTCAGTCCAGTGCTCCAGTGGGGGTCTCCGTCTCTATCTCCATCCATCGTCGGATGAAGGTTCCCTCTGGTTCTGCTTTCATTGCTCACAATCTCCCTCCCTCTGCTTCTCATTTGGGCCTAGGGAGTTAAGTCCAGTGTTCCAATATGTGTCTCTGTCTCTATCTCCATCCATCGCCATATGAAGGTTCCCTCCATTGTATCTCCTGCTACAGGATCAGTCTCGATTCTGCCTCTTTCAGTGGTCATGGAGGGAGCTGCTGGTCACAGCTGATGTTAATGTCAGAGAACTGAAAAGCCTCAATGTCTGCTTATTGATCAGAAATATTTCTGTTTAGTAAATCATTGGCTTTTAGGACTTCTAGTTTAGGGATAATTGTATATTTACATACATTTGTAAGGAAGAACAGAGAGCTCATATACTCTTTATCCAACTTTCTTTTTTCGTTGAGGGAAGAGCGGTATACAGGGAGAGCCCAGGGAGAGCCATCCTTCTGACTCTGGCGAGCCCTGAAGTTATTATCTTCAAAGGGCAGCTAAGAAATGCAGATGAAATCACAGGGTGATTCCTGACATGTACATGAAAAAAAGAAATAAAAAAGAAGACCTGGCTGCTCTTAGGTGTGGTAGAGCAGAACATTTATTGTGGATAAGAGGGAAAGCGTAGCCAGAGGCACAGACATCTGGGAAAGTCCAGACTGGATGTGACCCTGAGCCCAGTGAGGAGAGCCAGGAGGGGAAGGGAGAGCGGAGAGAAGGGAATCAGGTGCAACAGCCAAGAGGGCAAAAGGTACAAAAGGAACCACTAACCAAACATGGCTGAATTATATAGGGAAGAGTCTCTGGGGGAAGGGCAGCTCAGTCCCTGGGCTGGTGAGATGGATTATGCCAGCCATACCCTGTAACTGGGTAGGGACTGGGGATGCCCAGAGAACCTGGCAGCCAGGTTGATATGTTAAATAGACACCACAGCCTTTTGTTCCAGGGTTTGAGACCTAACACCTTGTAGACAGGATTCCAATTGATCCCAAGGTGTAGGAAACTAGAATAGCTTTACTGGAAATAAAACTTAGTGGTTTGGGAGTTCCCCAGAACGTATCTGAGAGAGGAGTGCAGCACTACTTACAGCCATCCCCATCAGGCTGGAAGCCTGGCTTACTGCTAGCTTAGCATTTTAATTTTAAAATAAAAACATTTGTCTTTATATTTATTGGTAACTTATAGAGCTAATATTAACTGCTGAGATTCTTGCTTTTTAGCTGGCACGAGCTCCAATGTTAGACAGTCACGCTCCCCTCCCTTCTCCTGTCTTTGTAATTTCCCATCTTGCCTGCCTTCATTCTTTTATTTCATACTGCAAGTATTAGTTATCACTTTTTTATTTTTTAAAAAATATTATTTATTATTTTTTATAATAAAAATTATATTATTTTTATTTTTTAACATCTGTTTGGTTCCTTGTTGTAATTTCTGTTTCTTTCTAAAATTTTCCATTTTGTTTCATGTTGGTGGAGACTGCTTGTTCGTTTCCCAGCTGCCCTGACCTGAATAATCACACAGAGGCTATATTAATTACAACACTGCTTGGCCAATAGCTTAGGCATATTTCTAGCTAACTCTTACATCTTAAGTTAACCCGTTCCTAT